CTACAGGCAATGTTTCAGCGAAAAATTTTTTTTCTGAGTTTTTGGGGTAATAGTTCAATAGTGCCAAAAAATTTATAAAGCACTCATTACATTGCCTGGCCTCCTCACAATAACGATTATTCAGTAGGGCGCAAGTGGCTCACAAAAGAATTTAGGCGTGAGGTTGAATGCATTGCGATAGTCGGCTGCGGACTCACACCATATTGGACGCGCTTCACCTAAAAAAAGCGGTCGCAGCCAATTTGCCGACATGTGCCTTGGCTGCTGTAACGGAAGCGCGAACTATTCCAGGGTATAATGCACAGTAGGAAGTCGAACTAAAATTATTATTGAGAAAAAGCGAACCTTTTTCGGTCAACAAACTGAAATTCTCGTCAACTTGAGAGGAAGGAGGGCAGTTTTCGTTCTGCTCAGAAACTAAGGTTTCGATGATTTTTTCCTATGCTATATCAAATCATATTCCACTGGGTAATCAGAGCACCAATCGTCCCTGTAACCAGAGGTTCAAATGCGGTGAAGTTGAAAAAATCAGGCTCAAATATTGTAGCTGGAAACGCGAAAATCATCAGCTAAAAATCATAAAATGGCACTATCCAACTATTACTGCCCCAAATAGTCAAAAAATTTTTCGTGAAACCTCGCCCACAGAGGTAGTTCGGTGTCCTGATCACGAATATAGCACTCGTTTTGGGCGCTGGCGCCGAATTGGCGCCAGTTTGGCGCCGCCACCTTTCCCACCAAATTCGGTGTAAATTTGCATAATAGGTTTATTTGATGTCCTAATCACGAATACCGAATTATTTGCATTATTTGAACAATGCAGTTCTCAGCCCTGACGACACTTGGCGCCATTAGGCGCTGATTTAGCGCCGCACCCTTTTTCATCAAAATTGATAAAAACGCGCATAATGGGGTTGTTTGATGCCCTGATCACGAATATGACATTTATTCTCCGACGCCAGCGCCATTTAGCGCTTTTCTAAGGCTGAGCCTGGGGGAAAGAGTGATTTCTTTTAGGTCAGGCCAGCCATACCAGAGCGCAGATAATCGCAGAGTCTTCCATCAGCGTCAGCGCCAAGAATGAATGTGATATCTGTAATCAAGATGTTAAATGACAAGTTTTCAGCGGATTTAGTGACCTAGGGTATTTTGGCGCCGACGCAAAAATACCCTAGGTCAGGCCAAGTGGATGTGATGTTCGTGTTCAGGAGGTCTAATTACTTCTAGAACCCAACTTTCAGCCATATCTGCCCTCGTAGAAAAAAAGTTGATTAAGATCCGGCCTGTTTTCGGAAAATTGGGTTTTTTTTCAGGTAGAGCGCGTCCAATATGGTGTGAGTCCGCAGCCGACTATCGCAATGCATTCAACCTCACGCCTAAATTCTTTTGTGAGCCACTTGCGCCCTACTGAATAATCGTTATTGTGGCCTCCTCAAGTCATTGTATAGGCCAGATCGCAGCGTAGCGTAACAACTCGTAACGCCTCTCAAAAATGATGCTTTTTCAAGCCTATCGAACATTTTCGCTTCATGAAGTTCTTATTTACTTTACGATGCTTAGAAGAAGACTGCATTTAATGATGAACAGTGGAAAAGGAAAGTCAAGAAGTTTTCGTGCGAAAGGGACTTACCATTCTGTCTATATTGTCCAACTGCTTGAGTGTTCTTTCGATAACATTCTCTTGGTATCGTTTCTTTTTCAACAGAAGGAGCGCCCGACTGCAAGTTCAATGAGTAAAATAGGATTGAGAAATAAAAATGAAAAAATAACTTACTCCTTCCGCCCATCCTTAAGTAGCTGCCGAGCGAGCTCTCTTTCACGCTCCATGCATTTTTCCTTTCGTCGAACAAACTGCTTGATTTTGTCTCTCTGGGTTTTCAGTTGCTAAAAAAATTAATTTGGGGAAAACTTCTGTCTGAAAATCCAGATCGCTTTGCCAAAAACCTATATAGCTACCTTCCGAAAGTAAAGACGGAGCTACAGCTAACCCTAACTGCAAAAAACTATTGTGGGGAGGAGGTGGGGAGGCAAGTATTCCGCGTATTCTCAAGTGCTCCTTCATTTACCTAAGGCTGCGATATCTGCACGAAACTAGAAGTGATTCGTGACATAAGTGACTGGGAACCCGTAACAACTTAAAAATCTAGACATGGTGTCTTACCCAGCGGAGGT